CAGAACCGGACAATGTGCCTTCAACACCCATCTCCTGCGAAGTCGAGCGACAAACTCTTTGCCTCTCATCTACCAAAGCCACTTGCAAAGTGTCATTAACATTTTATTCTTCTGAGTCATCGACATCAAAGTCATCACCATTCTCAAAACAAGTTGCATAACCTTCGATTGTAAACGCCCCGATTTGTTGTTCGAAGTACATTATCTCCAAACGGTCAAGAAATGCAACTTCTCTCTCCGATAGTGCTTTATGATAACCACTCAAAAGCGTCTCCACTTTTCTTCTTCTGAGGACATAAGTACGGTCCCCTCTATGTTGCGGCTTTGTTTCGAAAAGAAACTCTCAAATGTTGACAATGTTTTGACCAACTTTGTAAACGAGATCACGCCCTTCATCATGTCGAGGAGGCGGCTTAATAAATTTAGCGAAGTAATCTCGAGTTCCGACCATTTTGTTAATGAACTGAGTGAGGAACTCGAACTTCATACCCTCCCCTTCCAGCACAATGCAATGATGGTGACTCTTTAACAACTCCCAAACCAATGTCGCATGACATTTTCCCAGGAAAACGACAGCCCCCAAGGAAGAAGCTTTTGCCCAGATGACCAGAAGAGTTTCCAGGCGGCAGAATCTGCAAACTGGGCGGTCTGGTGACTGACTTGCCCACAACGTCTTCATCTGACTGTGGGTGGTCCGCTGGGAAAACGGAAGTTTTCTCCATCACACCTCCCTTCAATGCCTTTTTCCTTGGCTGCCGTTTTTTCTTCATGGCCTCCTCAGCCTCCCACAGATGGACCGCCTCATCCATTGGCAGCAGTTTCAACTTGCGTTTGTGACCCCCCTCTTGCTTGGTCCCCCCCTCCTGCTTGGTTCTTTTACTATCCAAAGCACTTCTCCTCTCTTGCCTGGTCTTCCTCTTCTTCTCAGCCAGCCGTGCTGCATCGGCATGTGTCGTCACGACCGTCATTTCATGGTGCATTCCCCCGCGCCCTCGATCCGCATCCCAATGTCCATGTCCTGGCGGGAGCTATTGCTTTCGTTCGCGACCCCGATGCACATTTGCATACCCTCCCTCGCCGGTCGTTTCCTCTTCTTGCCCTTCATCCTCATATTCAATCCCAAGCCCACACTCTAATTCGCCACCCCTCTCGCTGATTTTGTGCTCACTCTCTGCTTCCGGTTCTTCCCCACGCTTTCCTTTGTCATCGCCACCCTCCTCATATTCTTCTCATTCTTCATCGCGCTCCGAATCTTCCTCGCTGTTCTCCTCGTCGTCATCTCCAAAATATTGCGGCCAGCTTGGAATGGCGAAGTCATAATGTTGTGGGTGGACCAAGGAAAAGGGTTCCTTGGTTGACGTTGTTTTGGACTTCATAGGAGCTGACGGCACGATTTGGCCGCGACACGGACCTTTCTCTTCGATCTGCCCAGATTTCGGAACTCGCGTTGCCTCAAATGGAGTCCGAAGGGATTGCGGAGGGCGGACACCTATAGTGAGTGGTTTCGACGAGGGAGCCGCCTCTAAGGATGACAAAAGCACGCTTTTCGACTCAGATATGTGGTCGTCAGGATGCACCACCGGCTCCTGCCCTGCGACCACATTTTTATCGAAGAATGCGAAAACCGTTGGAAGGTTCGGCAACGTTAATTTTTTCGTCCCCGGCGGATTGAAAATATCAAAAAGCGTCTTGCCGTACCCAGCATGTTTGGCCCAACGAAGAGCAACGCGTTTGACATTTGCCATCCTCTCACCTTTAGCGTTAAGGACCATCGTCAACTCCAACATGGCCAATGGTGAACCTCGTCCACTCCACTTCACCACACCGCCAATCGGCACAAGGTTATCTTTGATCACCACGTACAGAACCAGTCCACTCGATGGTTCCCCGATTCCACCCACCCAGTCCAACATCCAACACTTGTCTTTGTGGTCGACGATGGGCACCTCGTCTCCCACACCTGCTACAGACGTTTCACCAGAACTTTTACGCCTGGGCACAACTTCTATTGCAGATTTCCCCTGCCGACCACCAGTCACCTCCTCCTGACCCGCACCCCCGCCACTCATCAACACAACCACATCCTGTCCAGAACCGCGAACACGAGTGGAAGGAGTGCCCGTAATAGGTGCACCCCGCAACACCGGGGTTCGTTGTCCTTTAGACCCTGGTGTCTCATCAGTCCCAATGCCAGCGGTCGGTGTCCCCGTCGTTTTTTTCGGAGATAATTGACATTTCGTTAAAACATACATTTTTTTCTGAATTCATGAAAGTGGTCTTAGTCAAAATTCCATTGCTCATCGGGTGAGAAAGTGGTTATCTCACTTTGTCCATCTGATGTACCTCAACGTAAAGTACTGTTAACATGCATCCAATGGTCAGATCATCGGGAGTCGCCACGACACCCGATGATCTGATCATCGGGCGTCATGGGGACAAAAAAACACTAAAAAATGTAGTTTTTTTGTACGCTCAATTTCATGAATTAAAAAAAAATGTCAGTTTTAACGAAATGTCAGTTAGATTGCTCCATGCTCCCGGAACTTCTACTAGCACGTCGTTTGCTTGGCTTCCCCTCCCGATCCATCTCGAGTGGCTAGTCGCAGCTGAAAGAAAACGCAGAAGCACGAACGCAGTCATTGCCTTGCCGATGCGCAAACACCTTCGGAATCGAAAACAACAATAGATAAGAACATGCGACAACAGAAGCGGGACACTGGACGACCATCGTGTCGAACTCGACGAACAGAGTCGGACACGAGGACAATAGCGGGGCAATACAGCGCTACGGCCGAAGTGTCCCTTCAACTCGTCGTCGTGTCCGATTCGACGGAAGGAAGTGCACGTCATGAGGTCGCCGAAAGACGGCAGGAAGCAGACGTCATGACACGATCGTCGAGCCCGACACGACAGATCACAGTGTCGTTGTCGTGTCGAACTCGACGGTCGATCACAATGTCGTTGTCGTGTCGAACTCGACGGTCGGAAGCGGACGTCATGCCACAATCGTCGAGCCCGACACGACATACAACGGACGACACATGTCGCCAGCGAACAACCTGCACAGTCCTCCAACTCGTCGTCGTATCCGACTCGACGGTCGGAAGCGAACGTCATGACAAGGTCGTCGAGTAATCAAACAAGAGAACAGAAGATGAGAGATGTTCGTGGGAGAACAACCCGCACTATCGAGTCGAACACGACGACGAATGCAGGACGACATCGTGTGAGCGGGACACTGCCCCTTCAACTCGTGGTTGTGTCCGTCTCGACGGTCGCAAGTGTAGTTCCCCAGCGCCCACAACATGAGAACAACAAGCAGATCCAGGGTATTTTTCGCAAGAAATCAAACATGAGAACAACAAGTTTTTTTCGCAAGGAAACACAACATGAGAGCAACATTCAGACTCTTTGTACTTTTCGCTCAATGCGAAGTCCATGTAGATGCAGTCCAAACAAATGGGAAGGCAGCGTGTTGTTGTTGAACGCTCAACCAAAAAAACAGAACAGCAATCAAATAGCAATGACACACTGCGTATTTTTCTCAAGAAAACACAACATGAGAACACCAATCAGACACTTCGTACTTTTCGTTCAATGCGAAGTCCATGAAAATTTAGTCCGAACAAACGGAAAGGTAGCGATGTGTCATTGTTGAACGCACAACAAAAATAAAAAAACTCCCAACAGCGGTCTCAGCACATCGAGAAACACAGCGCCGGAAGCGCCGGACAAACTTGCGAAAGTATCACACGTCGAAAAATATTGAACGACAAAGGGGACCGACGAAGACTATTTATCGACTATGGTAAACTCTCTCGCTGTTGCGGCCATTCAATATGCCAAGTGTCGATCCAAAGGTCAGCTGCTGCGGCTCGTCGACGGTAGAGTTCTCAGCAAACACAGAAATGTATGTCATGCGCACGAACCCGGAGTTTCCGACGAGAGAACTGCCTGTAGCATCCTGAATAGAAACGACTTTAGACTCGACCTCGCGCCAAGCGTCGACGTCCTTCACCTTGCCACCGACCACGATATCTAGTTTCCTATCCACCTCTCTGTGAACTAAACTCATGTCCTTTCCGGACATAGACAACTCGTTCCTGGACACATACACAACAGGGTCTACCAAGTTGTGTGCCCTGTTCGAATAGGCAATGCAAAGAACCCTACAGAAGATGAAGCATCCCAGGCGCAATCTCACACAACAATATGACACTGCTCGAGGCGAAAGACCCGGAGATCGCAATGGATACTGATCGAGGAACCACGAATGTCGCGCACAGTCGAGCAACTCCTGCTTCATAACACGACACCATGTGCGCAGCGAGGTTGTCGCGTATTCGAAATCTAAAACACCGAAAAGGTGGGTAAATTTCAACTTCTTACACAAATGACGCAAACGCACGGGACCCAACACATCGGACGACACAAGAATACATTTTCCGAATTCCAACATATTGGCGAACTCATAATTGCCCGCCCACGGGAACTTCTTCATCATGTTCTCGCACTCATACTCCTCTCACGAGTCCAAATGTTTGTTGACAAACGAGACGACTGTCATCCAAGGATCGGACCCGAATTCTTTGAGACTAGCGCCGTCAAAGGTTGTGCTGCCCAAACATCGTCGGACGTGTAGCGCGCAAGGTGGGAAAGGGTGTGCCTTTCGTGCACGCCAAAGTTCTGAGGTCATCCAATGAGAGATTTCCATAGCGACAGTGAAGCGCCCTGCATGACATAAGTGCAACGATCAACAACAACATACAACAATTGTCCTCCCCAACAATGCAAACAATCCAGGCCGCACGACATTGCACTGCACACAATCTATGCGCACAATCCATGCACACAATCCGTGCACCCAATCCATGCACACAATCTATGCACACAATCCACACACACAAGCAGCCTAGGGCACGTACACGATTGACGCCCCCCGCACAAGCCGCACACGATACAAAATGCCCAGGGTCGTGTTCGACTCGACGAGAGGGCACGGTCGTGTTTGACTCGACGGATGAGGCACAACCATGGTCGACTCGATGACAGGGCACGATCGTGTTCGACTCGACGACAAGGCACGACCGTGTTGGACTCGACGACAGTGCGCGATCGTGTTTGACTTGACGATCATGTCGGGTGTCCGACTCAACTCGACGAGGCACGACCGTGGTCGACTCGACGACAGGGCACGATCGTATTCGACTCGACGACAGGGCATGATCGTGTTGAACTCAACGATCGTGTCGGGCGCGACTGTAGTGTCGGACTCAACGACGATCGTGTTGGGCGTGACGATCATGTCGGACCCGACGATCGTCCTCAACTCGACGACCGTGTCATTCCTCAACGATCGTGTCGGACTCGACGATCGTGTTCGACTCGACGAGGCACGACCGTGGTCGACTCGACGACAGGGCACGATCGTGTTCGACTCGACGACAGGGCACAACCGTGTTGGACTCAACGACAGGGCACGATCGTGTTCGACTCGACGACAGGGCACGATCGTGTTCGACTTAACGACAGGGCACCACCGTGTTGGACTCGACGAAAGTGCACGATCGTGTTCGACTCGACGATCATGTCGGACCCGACGATCGTGTTCCGACTCGAATCGACGAAGCACGACCGTGGTCGACTCGACGACAGGGCACGATCGTGTTCGACTCGACGACAGGGCATGACCGTGATTCGACGTTCACGTTCGACTCGACGACAGGGCATGATCGTGTTGAACTCGACGCGATCGTGTTTCGACTCGACTCGATGAAGCACGACCATGGTCGACTCGACGACACTGCACGATCGTGTTCGACTTGACGACAGGGCATGAACGTGACTCAACGTTCACGTTCGACTCGGTGATAGGGCACGATCGTGTTCGACTCGACTACAGGGCATGATCGTGTTGAACTCGACGATCGTGTCGTACTCGACTATCGTGTCGGACTCGACGATCATGTCGGACTCGACGATCGTGTTCGTCTCGACGAGGCACGACTGTGGTCGACTCGACGACAGGGCACAATCGTGTTCGACTCGACGACAGGGCACGGTCGTGCACAACAGGGCAGGATCGTGTCGGAGTCGATGATCGTGTCGGACATCGGCGATCGTGTTGGACTCGACAACAGGGCACGATCGTGTTGGACTCGACAGCAGGGCACGATCGTGTTGGACTCGACGATCGTGTCGGACTCGACGGTGGTGTTCGGCACAACAATTCGCTCGGTCGTCGAGTTGGATTCGACGACCGGCCAGATCGCCGTGTCCGAGACGACTGCTGCTCCGGTCCGTTGTCGCGTTTGACTCGACGGCGCTCCTCCTGTCGTCGTGTTCGGCACCACCCCTATCAACCGAAAGTGCCACGTGGCGTTACGTGGTTGCATCTGGGCTTGCTGGTTGTGTCCTCACCGTCTGATCGTGCGGACTCGGGGTGCTTCGCTGTGGCTGCGCGTCACGTTCTGGGATCGTCTGCTCGCCTCTGTCGCCACGACCTGCGACCGTCGGCACCTTCGCTGTGGTCCGCTTGTTATGCACGGACCTCCGATGTGTCAACGAATCCCTGCGCTCCGTCGCCGCACCGTGCGCGTAGTCTGCTGTGCACGAGCAGCCACTGCGCTGCGCTGTTGCTGCGTTGCCCAGCCGAAACCGAACGAAACTGAAAATGGGAAGTGGTGGGTCAGCTCCGTATATATAGGTTTTCGGGTGGGCCCTCTGGACGCGCCTGGTGGCCGTCCGATCCGGGAATGCGCACTGTCGGGATGATCGGCTGGGCGCAAGCGGGGATTCGGTGGTGAGGTCAGTGGACCGCCCTATTTTCCCCCCGGTGAATCTTGGTCGTCGAACCGGTGGTCGGTCGTCGACCACGATCGTTTTTCCCCCCTGGGCAAAGCGGAGGCGCGGGGATGACGTTTCACGCCAGAGTACAATGTCATCCCTCTGCCGCACAAGAGCGTTTCCCGCACATGAGTAGCCGCGACCTTTCGTCAACGCTCCGTTGTTCATGTTCTGGGAGAATCAGCGCAGCAGTCCGCCAGCGTTAACACGACAACTAGCCCTCTCTCCAGGTTAGTGCCACTTCCGCCAACCCGGCTCCCCCCATCCCCCCCCCCCCCCCCCCCCCCCCCCCCCCCCCCCCCCCCGGCGAAACAAAGAAAAAAGGCCTCTATGGCCTGCCCTGTCCTGTGTTAGTTTATTGGTGACATCAACAAAATTCCTCCAGCAGTCCTTTATGACATTTATTTGCACAGGTCGTCGTGTCGAGCACGGTCGTCGTTGTGTTGAGCTCGATCGTCGTGTCACACACGATCGTCGTCGTGTGGAACACGATCGTCGTCATGTCGAGCACGATCGTCAACATATCGTCGTCGTGTCGTCGTCATGTCGAACACGATCGTTGTCGTGTCGAACACGATCGTCGTCGTGTCGAGCACGCCCGCCGTCGTGTCGCGCATGACCGCCGAGGTGTCCAGCAGGATCGTCATCATGTCGAGCACAATCGT